TGACGGTACCGTTTTGCGGCTGGCCTCGCCGGACAACTCTGCGACGAAACCGACTCCACAAGAGTCTTTATCGAAGGAAGGATCGTAGAGACCGAGAGGCTTCTCCGGAACAGCGGAAAACGACGATCTAACCACCGTTTTGAGCTTCGGAGACCTACCAGGACCGTCCGATCTCCAGAACTGGAGCGTCTCGGATCCGGATCTCCGCAACCGAGTCCCCATGAACGGACTCTCGGGAGCCGCCGGTTTCTTAACGGAACACCGCGCGTTAAATGCTCTCCGGCGGCCGTAGACGGCCAATTGAGAGGCGACGGCGGGGGAATTTTTCAGAGATCGGACCGGTAACAATTGATGGTTGTTCCGGAGCTGGAGAACGGAGCTAGAAGAAGCTACCGACATTTTTTCCCACTATTCTTCTCGATGATTCAGATAAAGTGAGAGAAACAAGGGGAAAAAATCTTGGATTTCGTCAGATTTATGAAGAAGGATAAGCACCGAATCAAAAGAATCTGAACAGAGAGAATTTTCCGCCGAAACAGAAACGATATTTTAAGCGAAGAAAGCGAAAAAGAGAGTCCCGGAGAGGGGAAAAGGCGCGCGGCGGATCGAGGCGGCGCAGGGTAGGTGGCGGCTAGGGAGAGTTTGTGAGAGTTTATACATATTTCAGGAGGCGAGACGTTTATATTTATAGAGGGGTTTGGGTAGAGAGAGAGAGATCAAATTTGTTTCGCTTTTTCAGATACAGAAACAAATTAAAAATTGACCAAAACAAAATAAATTTTATTTTTTTAATTTAAAATGTTTTTTGACCAATAGATTTTCCACTTGATATGTATATTTCGTGAAATATTTATTCTGTTATTGTTTGTTACTCTTAGCCCATGAAACTACGAGAGAAAATAATATTCAATCTTTTTCGGTTGTCGGCACTTTAATCTTGCTTAATCGTAGCTTAATACATTTTGTTTAGATGAGTTTACAATATATTTTCAATATATTTATTTTAAAAACTAAAATAAGTTGGTATGTTTTCTTCTTTTTGACCAAGGGTTTATTTTTATTTTACAACTTCCATATTATAAACTGTTACTGTTAGAAGTTGTATACTAGAACTGTACAGCTAACTTCCAGATTGTTGTTATAATAATTTTCTTAAAAAATAAAGGAATCCATGTTTTTGGTTCAAAAAATAATCCATATGATGATCAGAAAAAGTCTAACTAATTTTGTGTTATTTAATATCAAGCGTTAAAGTATATTGTCAGAGAATCTTATATAAATAAAATACACGCATAATCTGGAAAGAAAATGAAAAAAGAAACAAAAATGGTATTATATTGAAAAATTCCAAGTGCATCGAAAAGAAAACAATAATTAAAATGATTTTCTTTTTATAAATGGATAAATATGGAATTTATATATATGTGGGGCTCAATAGCGAAGGCTACGTGTATATGTGGCACGAGACAACCGCTTACTGTGGGTTCCACTGTAGATGAATATATCTCTCGTTGGCTACTTTAGTTCTGAGTTTAGGTTTACTTTACCCTAATCACAAATATTAATCGGAGTACGCAGATAAAAACATTGAAAACAAAAAAAATAGCTGCAAATTAATGTGAGAACCAAGATACTGTACCTGATATTAGCCGGGGCTAAAACGTAATTATCTAAATTAATCATTAATTAGTGAGAGATTACTTTACTAATTTTATTGATTCATAGTCAAACTTTGCTTATAAATGTAAAAACTAGTAACGGAAAGTGAATCATTCGACAGGTACATGTAACGTGACGCTATTGATGACGAATCATTTGTTAAATTTTTGGAACAGCACCAGGTTTGTATTTTTATAACCGTATGCGGCCAACCGTAAATAATCATAGAAAAAGTATAATCTTACGACATTGATTAGCTAGTATCATTAATTAAGAAAAATGTTAAAATATGCAAAAAAATGAATTATTTATACAATTCAATATTACATGCAACACTGTTTAGGAACACTATTAATATTTATTTTTTTATCGAATATTACTTTATAAAGGTTTTATTGTAAATTGACGAAAAATACTGATGATTTCAATATGTTAAAAACAAAGTATGCTATAGATGTTTTATAACATTGGAAAATGAATGAATTCCTTTAGCAAAGTAAAAAATAAAAAATGAATGAACTAGGTTGATGGCTTGGCTATCAAAAATAAATATATAATCGTAAAACTCTGTTTTTAACATATTGAAATTATCTGCATTTTTTTGTGAGTTTATTGAATAGCTTTAAACATGAATTTGAGCATAATGATTATTAATCCGAGATTCCAAATATACATGTTTTTTTTCTTAAATTAATTGCATGAATATACCTTTGTAAAAACAAAAACAAAAAAAAAAAAAAAAAAAAAAAAAAAAAGATATCAGACGACGTGTGTATCCCAAAAATATGTTAGCAAAAAAAGGTTTTATATCAATTCTGCCACCAACCACATGTAATTAAAATGCAGGTAGGTAGAACAAATGGTGAAGCTAACACTCGATATAAAAAGGTAACTGGTTAATATCTAGAAAAAGTTTCTTCATTTCATTTATATAACATGGCTGTTTCGATTTTTTTTTTGGTTTAAAAACATGATTTTTGTAAAGATTTTTAACAATTCTAAACTCTATAAAGTTTTCGTTTCAGTTCCTTTTTAAACATAATTCTTTGATTTGGTCGGAGGCTATATAGCCAATAAGAATATACGTAACCGTGTAAATGAACAAATTAAATTATCCGACAAGCGGTTGATGAAAGGACCAAAGAGGTCAGGCAATCGAAGCTATGAAGAGAGTGTAAGTAGGTGCCTGTAACTATAAACTAAAACGGACAGATCATCTATGATCTATCTACCTGTCACGTTATGGGCAATATTTTAGAAACTAAGACAATTCAACGTGACCATTCCTACGATTCTGTCCACCTCACCAATCTTCTCCATTACACGACAAAATTAAAAACATCATTCTCAATTTAAATTAACAAAAAAGGGGCAGCTTTTGCAGAAAAATAAATTTCATCGATATAAATGTTACGTTAGCCACGCGCAAAATTGGCCGAAAGTAACTTTTTAAAATTGTAGTAAGTTGTAAAGGGATGGATTATTATAAGTTTTGTATGGTTCATATATAGTTTTTTTTTTTAAAAAGGGCTTAGAAGTTAGACCAATAATTATTTAATCGGCAAGAGAAAATTTCGAACAAAAACAATGGATAAAAATATATAACTGAAACTTGAAAGTTATGAAATATGGATTTTAGAAATACTTTATTCAGTTAAGATCGAAGTAGTGTTTTTAATAATTTACATTTAAAAAAAAACAGTTTATTCTTATAAACCATATACATCATGGACAACGATTGATTAAAAAAAAAGTTACATTACGAAATTCTGCTTTCCGACTCTGACCAGTCTATTTTTTAAAAGCACTTGAAAATTTTAATATTGTCAAAAGTACGAGAACCTTTTTTTATATAAAGAAAAAGTAAGAGAAACGTGCGTATTTGGATAAGTTAAGTGGTTCTAAAACGAAACTTAAGGAAGATGCAAAAGCTGCACCACTGGTCTCTTTCTTTTAAAGCCGCCACAAAGCATACAGATTGATAACTACACCAACTCTTATTTCCGAATATTCTGTCTCTGTGATATTATATATGAGTCATGATAACATCGAAGATTCTTAATTACAATTTATAAAAATGACATTTTGCCTTCCACTTATTTGATACTCTCCTAGTCTCTACATTGAACAATCCTTTTTTTTTTGCTGAAGCTACGTAGAACAATTTAGTATATATATATACGAAAGACGATCAAATTCACGATATTTGGCATCACGTTATATGCTTTGATACATTATGACATCAATCATATTACCGATTTGCGACCAGTAAAAATTAAAGAAACAAATTAGCAGAATAGTTAGAAGATGCTTAGTGCACGTATCGCGATCGTTTGCAAGCGTGATATTATTTTTTTATTAAGAAAACAGAATCTTTTCCTTTTAGTCTCGGTTTGAAGTGTCTTTCTAGTCTCGGTTTCTCTTTTTGTGGTACAGGTTGATGCATATTAAACTACTACAAAAGCATCGTCTTAAACAAATATGTGAATGTAAAAGTTAACCCTGCAATGTAACATGAAAATACAAAAGCCTTTGTTAAAAAAAAAACCATGAAAATACTAAGAATTTGAGTGTAAGGCGTAGAAAAGTCAAAATACAGAAATTCGATATAGTAATTTATACTTGATCTTAATTTAATTGAGCCTTTTCTCATCAAGTTGGAACTAATAATAAAAAACCATCATGAAGAAGTGAATCATGATTAGTTGTTCCTTTTTAATTTATTGTTCTAAACTTTAAAGATTCCAATTCCACTAACAGAAGGCCACACATATGTATCATGATAATTAATAAGTGGGTAGTCTTCGAGCATCTCCAACATTTATTGCATTTTTGCTACATTGTTATATTACACTTCCAGTTGCAAAATTTCATCAAAGTGGTATGATGCTAGTTTTGCTTCCAAATATGGAATCCTCTTCTTCCATATTTTATTTTGCAAATGTGATTTTTTTTTTTACAAAATAGTACTTGAATTTTTTAATAGTTATAGTTTAATTAACCGTTATAAATAATAACATTGATGATGATTTATACAAATACTAAATACACTTATCTCTAAAATTAATATGTAAAAGGTAAAAACATACATTTACTAGAAAATATAATGACATGAACCATAACGTAATTTTTGTATTTTTTTGTTTTGGATAACTTTTTTTTTTGTAATTTTTAAAAAATGCAAATCTCCTTTTATGTGTTTTTTATTCATCCAATGGTTATGAGTTGTACCTATAGTGATTCGCTTCCATGATTACGATAACAGATCATTGACCTGTAAAAATAAATTAAATCAATTAGTTTAGTAGTAAGCTTTAAAGATTACTTTAATTCTGTCATCGAGCCCAAGGAGCAAATAAATAAATTTGCATCCACACAAAACAATGCGTTTGACCGGTTTAACGTAATTAATTTTATAAAGTTTCTTGTCTGTTTGAATAATTTAGTGCAGGAGTTTGGAACTACTAAACGGTTGGTCGGGTTTGGCTATTAGCGGACGTGGTAAGCACGGTTCCAATACAACTTCAAACTGATCAACTGTCATTTTGACGCTATGTAGCGTCTCGTCTCGTGCTGCACAAACAGTTTTATTTTATTTTTTAACTAATTTAATCGTTTTCATACCTTATTTTATTCAACTAATTGTTTAATTATTTTCATATGTTTTATAATGTTTTCCCGCTATATAAAGAGCAAAAGGCATAGAGCAGGTGGGTTTAGATATATTGAAATGTACGAAA